TTTTTTTTTTTTTTTAAACAGTTAGGGCTCGATCTCCGCCCACGGGCAGGAGACGGTCACGGACGCCGCTGGTGACGGTGGGTGGGGTCAAAGTTAGACTGGCTTCGAGGCCGACAGGTGTTCCACATCAACATTGACATTCTTCAGAGACCTCCGCCCACAGAGTCCCCGACACCACGCTCGGTCACTGGTTAACAGGCACTAAGCCGCTGCTCTATGGCAACACAAAGGAAACCGCAGCTACTTGATATCGTCGCTCCGGCTCTGCACGCTCGCACAGTCTGTTCAGCCTGAACCGTCCACAGGAGGAAGCTAAAGCAGCTAAAGGGCCAGTGCACTGGAAAACCAATAAAACTGATGTGTGAATATAATGATGACATCTTTATATCTTAATGGTCGATGAGAAATATTGTTCCTGTGCCATATGATTCACGAACCTCTAATTATCCAAGGAAAAATTGTCATCTCTGTCGTGCAAATTACTCTTATTGTCTGTGTTCGTCTCTGTGGTCGCACACGAGCCACACGACAGCGACAGCTAACTGATGACAACTTGGTGGGTCACAGAGTTGAATGGGAGATGGGTGGCAGAGTACAGGATGTTATATGTGGCATGTGTGTGTGTGTGAGTGTGTGTGTGGGGGGCGAGTGGAGGGTGTATTTTGGGAATCCTTTGGCAAGTGGTCAGTGTTTGGCCTGAAAAGAGACAATTATGACCAGTTAGTCCTTTTCAGAGCCTAATGAGGAGCCACAGTTACAAGTGTTACGAGTGGACGAAAAGTAGCCAACACACACACACACGCAGGCAGGAACACACACACACACACACACACACACACACACACACACACACACACACATTAAACAAAAGGACCCTGGTGAACACTCAGGAGTGAAAAATGACGGATTGTACCAGGACACACTGTAAACACACCACACCCACAAACACAAACCCCAGTCACACAACACATCATTTTCCCTTCCAGCATTTTAAACATCTTCATTTCTAATAACTTTAAGCAAAAAGTTAAAGCTAATCTTGTTCCTTAGACGACGAGGAAACTGATTACAGGAGGAGAAAATGCGCCAAAAACAGTAAAATGGGAAAATATGAATTATTTCATTGATTCCGTGTTTGATTTTGTTAACTTGAAGGGATTCTGGCACTTATAGTCATTTCATCACATTTTTGTCTCTGAAAGCATTTTAACAACAACAGGATCTTGTTTACTATAAACTCCAGTGAATATAAAAACCCTTTGATGAAACCACACATATATAAAACTACAAACAATGAGCTTTATCCTTATCTGCAATCTGATTCTTCTTCTTATCAGTTTAACAGTCGCAGCAAACCAACCGGGATTTTCCGTTTCGTGTAATCATTTGATAACTTAAAGAAGAAAAGACCAGTCAACATGACACACATCACAGTCTAGACTCCCGTAACGACACAGCAGCTTCCCATCGGTAATAACCTTGCAGCAGAACAGTGAAGCCAGCTGCAGGGTTCTTCATCCCTCCTGATTACCTTCTGAACAAACCTGTCCAATCAGCCCCATTCATGTGAGCCAGCACTCACAGGAGAACTCTGACCCGACTGACCCCTGCCGAGGGCCGGCCCCTCAGCCTTGACCTTAGGTGTGGGATGCTTATTGTGGGACCCACCGGCCCCAGCGCTCTCACAAAGGCCTGGATGCCAGAAATTAGGCACTTGAGGGAAACTGGAGAACTCCTTGCTAAAGTCCTGTTCGCAAAAAAAAAAAATACAATTCTAAAAAAATCAAGTGTCGTTATCGAGGGGGGACATTTCTAGAGTCGAGAGGAGTTTTTGGTAAATGTGTTTGGGTGTTTGTGTTTTTCTCACATGATCTATTGTGGGTGGATGTGAAGAAGTGAGTTGGCAGGGAGGGAGAGATTCAGCGTTGAAAAGTTGACGCGTGGGAGAACTCTTGATTTCAGACAGTTAAGTACCATTTTCATCTATAGGGCCTTGTTTGAGACGCTAGTGTTAACGGTGGCTTGTTGCTTTGAGTAAAAACTAAATAATGAAATAGCACCTGCGAGGTCATAGATCCAAAAATTTACCGACCCACTTGTTTGAACGCATGGTGAGGAAAATATCCATTCAAACTATAAACTACACAATAATCCCAATTTATTTTATTTCATAAAAAAAACTCACAGTCCTCAAAATTGGAGGAACCCTTGTTGCGTCCGCTCTGCCGAGGGGCGTCGTCCTGCAGTTTGGAAAGCATGGTCAACACCTTTGTTCTCCTCTCCTCTATCTTTCTTTCCGTCTCTTCGGTTCTGTGGTCAAGACTCTCAGGGCTCCTCCGAACGGCTGAGGACCCAACACGGTCCCTCCATCCTGGATGATCCGACTCCTCCTCGGTTGGGCCTCCTTTAACTGTGCTGCAACCTTAAGGAGAGAAGGTGCGACATAAGTAAATTAGAAATCTGATAAAGTCTTGCATGTGCCTGAAGTTATTTACCAGGACTAACTTTGTCAACATAACCACTGCGACCAACACAGTCCCAGGGAACACATCTGTATTCATTGTCGTCCATGTGGAAGTGGCCACTTGGCACAAAGCTCTAAAACCAGTTCTGTTCCTTTAATAAACACCAATTCACATCACATTGTTCTGCTAAATGCCGCAGTCACATCTCCCTTCAGTCCCTTCAGTGTCTCACTAAGGAACGGATGCTCTCCCTGAAGCCTCCATCTCCATCCATTCTGTCACTGAGCAGCCAATTAAGAGTCTCATTATCTCTGAATACACAGGCTGCAGAATGCACCTCTCGGTGTAGCAGCACGGAGACAAAGAGCTCGGTGAATGCAGGCTTCAGTGTATATAAGGAAGGCTCAGATTGTCTTTTGCAACAGTTTGCACCAAAAGATTCAGACTCTTTTCTTCTTCCTGCTTTTGAAACGTGAGTGTTGCCTGTGTTGAGCGATGATTTACATGTCATATGTTCGGAGATGCTTCGATTCATTCAAGAGGTGAAAGTTTGACCAGGCGAGGATTTATCAAACCGTCCGACCGCGCTGGCGTGGATTCATTTATCCTGTCGGTGAGCGAGCAGAGGTCAGCAGCACAGATTGATGGAGCCATGTCTCATTGGTCGGGCCGTCTTCCACCACACTGCACACAATCACACGCCGCCGTCAGCCCCCGTGTCCTACTCAAGTTTCAATGTCACCAGAACGGACGACAGGATGAGAAATGTATTCATCTTCTAGAGCAGAGAATTCATCATTCCTTTGTGGGGGGGTGTTTTCATATGCAGCACAAACCTAATGTCCTGGACACCAACAGTGACATCACCATTATTGTGAGGTGTCAAATGCAAAACTTCCATTTCATATGCATCATATATGATGTTTAAATTGAGGCAACCTTTATTGTATTTATGTTTTGGACAATTTCTCTGGGTCACAACCAAAAAAACACAAATTAATGTCAAATGAATGAATATATTTTCTTTTTTTTTAAATGTGTTTTCTTTAGTTCCGGTGCTCTGGGCTCTCGATAGTTTTAAATAGTCCTTAACTCATAAGATATTTAATTTACAATCACATATCAGCAGCTACCCTCAGAGTAGGATGATAATATTTCTCCTGACTGACTCGGTTAATCGACTAATCAAGCACTGGTTAAAATCTACAAGCCCAGACTGTTTATGTAAAGTACAATCTTTAAATCTCAGTTAACCCTCCGACTTAAATTATTCAGGATTTGGTTTCTCCCTTTTGAAACCCTGCTATCCCAACGTCCAACACGGCCTAATCCGTGAATGCACAGTGATTACTGGTCAGTTCAAGCTGGAAACAAGAGCCCATCTAAAAACACACAGAGCACGTTACCATACCAACCACAGCATCTGAACTCTGCAGATAGCTGGATTTGGCTGCGAGCGGCCGAGTCAAATCCCCTCGAAAAGGCCATCGAAGACAATAACACACACACACACACACACACACACACACAGCAGCACGGTCCAACTTCCAGTGCACCAGGCAGCGGCAAGAAGGTCGGACTTGTATCTCTTTCTCTCCGTGTTTGAGAAAGGGATGAGCATCAGCGAGACAATTAGCATGCAAAGGCTTTTCACTGATGCCACCCAGAGCCTTCACTCCTCTATCTCCTGGAAGAATGGCAGAATAGCCGTGGGGCGGAGTAAAAAAGGAAAATCCTCACCAAATTATTATTCATGGGGAGGGGATTTTCCTTTCAGGCCTCCTTTATCGAGGCCTTTCCCAACACGTCACCCTCTCTATCAGCTCTGACAAGTGCCAATCAAAGGGCTTGAGTCCAGGTTTTAGGGGAAATGCTGGAGGATTTCAGAGACAATGGCCAACGAGTTCACAGCGGCGGTGGCTTAGAGACAAAGGTGACATGGCTACACTGTCAGTGTGTGGTCCTCTGGGGGGAAACGATCCTTGCTTACATGACTAATCTCTGCTTGCACCATCTCTGTCCTTCTGGAGCCTAATCTGTGCCGTAGTTTCCTCAGCTCTCCGCAACAATCCGCCGGGGTCAGTTCAGATTAGTGCTCTTTGTGGCCTCTGCTCATCGCCGCATTCATCGGGACACTAACATCTTCAGTAGCAGCTGAATGCTAAACATTGGGGTGAGCGCTGCAGTGACCGGTGCAGCGGGGAAACAGTCGCCAAACTATTATGAGGGGAGGGATTAGTCTATCTATGAATTCCTGATGAGCACAAATGGACAAAGGTCTTATCGTGAGCCTCGCCGCGGAGCACCGGCGTTTTATCGCCACCGATTTGTGGCTCCAGTTTAATCTCGAAATCACTGAACCGTTTTCAATTGATCCAAAGAAGCGGATGATTCACTGATGTGGAACAGGCAGAAGGGAAAAAAAAAAAATCATTGAAGATAAAAACATGTATATTCATCAGAACAACAGATTTTCCCAAATCCAGCTGCATCATGGGAAATGTAGTATAGATGTAGTTTAGAATAACACAGCTTTTTTTCTTGTAATATTATTTCAGATCTTCTTTCTTGGATTCGGCCCCACTGCTCCGTTTTGTACAACCTGTAAAAAGTTCAGGACACCTCAGCCAGGGCTTTGGCCGTCTGGACGTGCGACACTAAATCACATGCTAATTGTGTTTCCAGCCCATTTTCCCAACTATCTCATATACGTTGAGTCAAAATGAGGTCAGTCCCTCCATTACTTAGCAGCGCTATTGAAAGGTTGAACTACGTGCACCTCCAGGGTAACCAAATCTCACCTATCCACACAAAGACATGCCACACACTGGGCATCTTTTCGAGACTTCTGTGACCTGAGGCGTGACCCCTCCACGCCCTGCTGATGACCCTCAGCCCTCCTCCCCCACAGGGTGACCATGCCTTTGGCCTCCAAAAGGTCAAAGCACAGAAGCCATCACCCGAATCCTCTGGGTGACATCTTTTTTTCCATGTTTGTCTAATTCTTACAGGGCAGTTAAACAGGGAGCGCTGTTTTAAAGCTGTAGGGAATTTCACTCATTGTAGTCGAGGACAATAGATAGATGTGCAGCGTGTACATTTAACAAGATAATGAATCCATCACTCTCTACAGCAAAAACTGTATAAAACCCGTCTCTCCTGTTGGAAACAAGCAGCCAATCACAAGTCAAGCTTTTGGAAAGTTAAACTTTAAACACTTAGCTTTGATTTGTGGGTGCCCTGACAACGGCTTGATTAGGATCCAATAATAGTAAATATCTTTATTTATTTGTCTCCATATTATAGTTTATTAGAATACTACTCTGCAATTATTCACATATATAAACTAATTTATTTTGTTTTTTTTCTATTGAGTAATGTATTTGTAGTTTGTAATTGGCACAGACTATGTATGAACCATTTGCTCATATTGTGCATCGTACTTTGTGCCTATATGTACATATCAAAATCTGAATCTGAGTGAATAATTAAGCTCAGCAGTCCGACATCAGACGCAGAGAATCACAAAGATGAATCACTGGTCTGAAACGTTTAGCTCGGCCCGCTCATCAATCTCTGATAAGATGGATGCATTTGAAAAATCTTGCAGGAACACAGTGCACCACGGACCATTAGTGTTGGTGCACGATGACTGATACTGGACCAGTGAGTCACCAGCGGAAAGAGAGCGAACATGATCGCAGCCCGACAGACGTGGTCAAAGCCACGGTGGGAGGGAAAAACAGGCATCTCTCAGTTCGAGGGCGGAGACACAACTCCTGACCTTTTCCCCACGTCTCGCGCTGCCAGTTTTCCAGTGTTTGTGGTCCGTACAGTAAACGCCGCCTCGGGACCCATCACTCATGAATGTACACAAGTCGGCCACACAGGTGAAGGTGATACCGCGAGCCAGCTGGCCCTAGCAAGGATTAGCGGGCTTAAGTGTACCGGAGGCAAGGGAACGCCAAACACAGCGCTGACAGTGAGGAGACAATGGCTCCTAATAAACCAGAGCTGACAGGGACTGAATGGGCTTTTACCGGATCAGACGCTAACGGAGAAGACAGGCTCTTGTATTGATTAAGTATTGTTGTTATAGGCTCTCGAGACCAAGAGCCAGCTTTCAACAAGTTGGTTTGTCATAGCGGCACACGCAGATCGTGGAAAATAATCATTTTCTGGGGGGATGTGAGGGATGCAGTACTGTGGTTGGACGGGCAGGGAGAGCACGAGGATCTGAACATGTTGTACGATGGACTCTGGTCGATGATCCATGACGATGGTGAACCGGAGCCTTCGTCAGATTGGTCCTAAAGGGAAGAGGAGAGACTTTTAGAAAGAGTTCAGGCACAAAGGGGTTTAAAATAAGCAAATCTAAGAACTTCCACAGACCGATACGGACCACATGACTAGAATTTGGTCTGTCGGTCCAGAACACGATCTAAACTAAACTAAACAGTCAGAAGGTCGAAACTGAAAAACGTGGGTGTGAAAGCTCCCAAAGTCTCAAGCAACTATGTTCAACGATCCAGGAGAGTTTTTATGTTGAGGAACATCGTGGAATGAAAAGTTTCAAATAATAATAAAAACTACCCCCAGAAGCAGCAGCTCCTCCCACTGCATGTCTCCAAACACGCCGCTGGTTTCTTATCAGCCGCTCTTCATTATGAATAATCCAGTGTGTGAATACCAGCTTCACTGAGGTGTATTATGCAAATAGCTGTCGTATGAATCCGAGGACTCCAGCTCCTCATTGTGGTTAGACATAATTGTGGGGGGGCTTATGAGTCTCATTCATGCTTTTCAGGGGCTCTCTCTCATCCGTCATAAAGGGGAGATTAATCGTAGATCACGTGGAGCACCTGCTTCCATTCCACAGGAGCCCAGCACGCACAGCACCTCTCCAACCCTTCGACCCCTGTCTGATCCTGGTGGTGGTGCATCCTCCAAAAGAATCCCACCATGTTGGGCGTTTAGCCGAGTGGACCCCCTGCGGCAGAGCAATGAGCTGGTGTAAAAGGCTGCCTGTTCCCCGTACAGTGGGCCCTCCCCCCCGCTCTCCTGCAGCCCGTGACTGATTAACCACACACCTGCTGCACGCCGCGTGCCCTCTGTTATATTGTGTCTCAATTATCAACAACAATTTAGCTCGTCTTGCTGCAATGACAGTTATAAATGCATACCAGTTCCAGTATGTAAAAGGGGGTCTTTGTGTGGGAGGCAGACTCTGTGTACCAGGTCCGGGCTCATTGTCTGACAGGAGTTGATTCTTGAAGACTTAGTGTTTGCTCTCGGCACGCCGCGGCCCCGCTTTTGGAGGAAATCTGATAGATGAACGGAGGAGGGGGGTAGAGAGTGAAAAGCGGTTTCACAAGAGGCGGCGGCACTCACCGATTTGTTTTCCTGGACTTTCCCTGCGGAGTCACACCTTTCAGAGATGCTGCCAGCTGTGAGGGGCCTCAGAGCACCTGACACAAAAAAAACCCCACACACACAAGACACAAAGTCAGGCTGAAGAGAGAGGAAGCAATTGTGGTGTGGCGTATGTAAGCAAGCAGGCAGGCGTGTGCGTCGTGCACGGGTGTACATAAATGTCAGCCCTGCGGCACACTCTGCCGTGCACACTTGTCTTTTGTGGTTGAAAGTGTGTGCACAGATATGAGTAATGTCGTGAATTAGCTTCAATTATGGCTCTTAATCTCTGAGCAAATAGCGGCAAAAATGGAGCAACAAAACCCCGGAGGAGCACCTGTCTGCAGGAGCGTGCCAGGTGCAAACTTTGTTCTGGAGACACACAGAGAGGAGGCTTCCAGCAAAGTCACACAGATTTTTCCTCTTGTTGTAAACATTGCAGGCACAAATGCATGAATACAAAAACAGCAGCGCCATGGTGACCAGATTCTCTTCTGCTGGTAATGAGCCGGCTCCGAGATACAAAAACATATTCTCCCTCTTTCCTCTTGTGATATCTCAGAATGCAAATAGCTTCGGTTTTATTTGTGCAGGTTTTGAGCCTCTGGGATTCTGCATCTATGCCAACAGAGTGGAGGTGAATGGATTTACTATTGTGTCGCTCATTACACATAAAATATTCAACTACTTGTTACTATGGACAGTCGAGACTTTTCTTTCGTGAGCCCTTTCTTCAGTGGAAAAGGAAAACGTTGCGATGTCAGTTATCGAGAATAAAGGCACAGTGACCTACACTGAGGAGACTCTCACAGTTATATTTATTTTTAAAATCCTAACATTTGAAACGACACGAGGAGAACACGGAAACTCCACACAGAAAAAAAAAACAGCGGCCGACCCAGGATTCGAACTGGAACCTTCTTGAGAACCTTCCGTCATAAATCACAGTTTTGACTTTACTACAGCTCATCCTCCATTGTCCTTGAAATATTAGCGACAAGTTAACCAGCAATTAATTGATACTTATTCAAGCATTTCAGGCCGGACCACACGTCAACCTCAAGGTGGCGCTAGTGAAATCAGGATTCATCATCTGAGAAAGTGGAACAACACTGTCATCCCTGGAGCCACAAACACTCTGATGGCAGATTCTGGTGTCATCACTTCTCCATTCCTATGCACAGTGCATCATAAATTCTATCACAAAAAAAACTAAAGACAGCAGTGTTGATCTCATTTTTTCATTCTGGGAGAAGAAATTAAATTTCACAAATGTTTCAAAACTCGGAGAGATAAACTTAAACTACCTGCATGATTACATACGGCCAGATTTAACTGAGATGTGTCTTTTTGCTATTTGGCCGAACTGAACCTTTAAACCTCGGCTGTGTTTATCTCTGAGACGTTATCAGACTATAAACAAACAGCACTAGACTGAGTGAGTTTTCCTCTCAGCTCCTTATCCACTGTTACGTGTGCTGCGCTCGCTTCTAAGTGTCTCCAGCTATCTTACTCGGACTTTCCCAGTTAATAATCCACTCCAGCGGTTTGATCTTTATTAATATGGTACATCCTGATATCCCTATAAACCTTTCCCGAGTCGCCACACCTTTGGGGAAAAGCAGTTTGCATGCCAGCGAGCAGATGAGAGGCGGTGTCGCAGCTCGTTAAAAAAGAAGCTGCTTGATGCCATAAAAGGCGATGCTTACTCTCAAGGCCGGTCGCAGAAAACACATGAATACAGTGTCATGTTTTCCCCCTCTGTCTGTTCATGTGTTGTCTCCAAACACCCACACACATGGACACACACAGACACACACATGGACACACCTGTCTGACTGCTCCCTGTTAGTGAAGTGACGGTTTTTGCTTATCAAACGATCTCGTTCAAACTGTCAGAAAGATTCGACAGAGCAGGACGCTCAGACTCAGTGAACTGAGATTTCTTGTAAGCCTTTTAAGAAAATATACTCAATGAATAATCACGAGAGTTTAACGTGTTTGAATCATTAATAAATCACAGACACCTGTCAACTGAATAAACTAGTTTCAATAGTTAGTGAGGACACTTGATGCTGACTCAAAGTTTGTCTTCTGTGACGCCTGAACTTCCTCTTTCCGCTTCTTTCCCACCAAGCGTTAACAAGTTGCTCATATCAGGTGTATCTGGGTATTTTTGCTGGATTATATTTAATCCTGGCATTAAGATCACTGTATATTGCCAAACCTAAAAATCCCCATGATCAACACTACCTCCGATAATATTTGAGATCTTGTAATTTGCATGTATCATGATTCCAGAGAGAAAAGGAGGGATTCATTCACATGCATGTGTTGAGACATCTTCACCTGCTGATGTCAGTCCTGGATCGTACTGCATCCAGTCCTCCAGTGGTGGGAAATCCTCCTCCTGACCGTAGGGGCTCGGCAAGGTCTCAGGCTCTGGTCGGTCCAAGAGGAGCAGCTGGACCCGGGAGAGGGGGCCCAGATTCCCCGAGTCACAGCCCATCGTCAGTGCTGCCAGGCCAGGGGACAGCTCTGCAGAGGGAGATTAAAACAATAAAGTCAGGAAAATGTCCTGCAGCACAAAACAAATGTGTTCTGTCAAACTGGTTTGCTTTTGCATAAGTGAATCATTTGAAGAAGTTCACAGAACATTAATGGGTCCGTGTGGAGCTGCAAACAATAAAAAGAGAAACACGTTATCTTCTTCATCTTCATTTTACATTTTAGGTCCAGTTCCACTGTTTTCAGGAATAATTGTTGAGACAGGTTTGGTAGAAATGTTAACCAGATAAATTATTATCATTTAAAGATAAGACTTAAAGCCTTGGACCTACTGGAGCCTTGCTGCGAGCACAGTTAGGTTACATTACATTACATTTCATTAGGCAGACGCTTTTATTCCATTTACGCGTTTAGTATCTTGCCCAAGGACACTTCGGCATGCAAATGGGGAAGACTGAGGAATGAACCGCCGACCTTCTGGTTGGAGGACGACCACTCTACCCCTCAGCAGGTTAATGTGTGTGAGCACCCTAGAAAATTAACTTACCAACTGTCAACATATGAACATGTTTATA